ATTGCTTCTAACCTGAAACAAAGAGAACCAAAAAAAAATAAGTAGAAAAAAAGTTCTAGAGTCGATTTACCAACTTTTCTTAGGGTTTTGCGAAAATGGAAACACATGTCTTCCCCGACAACGACACCAAAAACTTGATGTGGTGTGGTGTGCGGGTGTCAAATTTTACCCTAATGAAATCAATAAGCCGCAGATGCGAGCTAGGGTTCCTGTCGCAAAATAGTTTTAAATTTATAAACCCTAGTGTCTGCAAGTGAAGAGTCGTGCGTTGTAGTACTTAGGGTGTCGATCCACTGGGAGAGTTGTCTTTTTTGCAAAAACTTCAAACTGGATTAGTAATCGAATTCAAAGACCAATGGGTTTTTTTTTTGGGTTTTGATGACACTGAAAACGCAAAATAAAACTAGACTAAGACTCTACTAAAACGAATGTTGGGCTGACAGGGATATGTTAGGGGATATTCGATTCAAGCTAGGGTTCTAAAGCTCATAGGTGGTGATTTAGACTTCTCCGGTTTGCTCTAATCGATGTATGGTGACATTTCCAATTAGCTTCCAGGCGATTTATCTTCATCTGTTTCTGAGATCTGCATGGAACTAGAACAGACATATATATGATTAACCAACCATCTTCACCTTAATCAACTAATCACTTACCTTCGCAATTAACTCTCACTCTCATGCCGTGAATAAGATCATGCATTAGGCATTGAATTCGTCTGCTCACATCTTCTCTACATGTAGCTTTCGACTCCTGTAGCGACTATGTTCTTCTGAAGCTTTGTTCTGGCAATCTGATACAACACTCTTGTGGCTCTGATTCCTAGATTCAGTAGTTAGATTGCGAGTTTAACTACATGCATTTGGAACAACTTAGAAGAAATGAGATCTAGAATATGGCTAAGAAAACAACAGCAATCCTAATCGAATATGGAGTCCCCTTCGATGGATCCCTTAAACCCAACAACTAAATTACTCTGACATGATTAAAGAAAGCATAAGCAAAGAAATAGATAGCATAAAGTGAATAGATGAAAAGAAACAACAAGGGTTCAAGAAAAGAATCTCTATCTCCCTAACCTAAACCTAAGAAACAAAAGTTTGGTGCCTCCCTATCAAGGGGAAAGGAGCACACACGAAATAGGGTTTCTAAAATACATATTTATAGGTCTCCAAGTGTTTCTGGTCGTCCTTAGGGCTTCTTTTGCAGAGAGAATGAGTTGGGCTTTAAAACTGGCTATTGGGCCGTTTATGGGCTTGTCGCAGAATTGGGCTTCTCCAAGTCTGGTAAATGATGGTCCACCGTGTATGGAGGCTCTCAAGCGGTGGGCCAGGATGTTGTTCACCGTGGTCACGAGCTCCTGGACCGCGGTGGTTGGTCTATGATCTCCAAACTTCATTCTTCCTCTTGCTTCATTCGCGAGACGGCAGAAGATGTCTTCAGTAAATTGGAAATAACTTATGATCCAACTGTTGGATTGCGTCCAATCCAATTGCAGTAGAAAGCTGGTTGGCTTCTCTCTTTTTTCTCCAAATTTGAGCTTGATCATACGGTGAGAAGGTCTTCATCGGATGTGAAACTTCTGACGGTCCGAAATTGGCCAAAAGTGGATTTTTCTCCAATTTGCATTGCTTTTGCCTAAGTAACCTGAAAAGTCTTTTAAAACTCCAAAACATGGAAAAAACTTATAAAACCTTAAAAACTGATTGAAAATACCTGCATAAAATACTGTAAGTGATCCATAAAAATGGTCAAAATCAGGTATTATTAACTCGCCCAGACTTAAACCTTTGTTTGTCCTCAAACAAAACAAAAGATCTGAACATTGCAGGAACTAACAAAATCGCAGGAACTAACAAAATCTCAGAGACCATGCTTCTAAACCAAAGTTAGTCATTTATGCTCAGATCGGGTATAGTCTAGAAAATTCTCACCAAAATACAAGGATAACTAGTCCATTGATTCGTCATGCGAAAGTCTAGACACTTAAACCTATCTTCCAGTCAACTAGCTCTTAATATTCATTCAACAGTTCAAGTGGTTCTCATTAAAGGACTTTAGTTAAGCAATCAAGGCTAGGTATTCATAATGGCTCTTTTAGGGGTGAGGTTCTTAGTGTTTAGTGGTTCTCATCAAAGGACTTTAGTTAAGCAATCATGGCTAGGTATTCAAAACAGCAAGAGAGGATGGAGCTGTTGATATCCACAGTTTCCAGTCACATTCTTCTTGCTTTAAGATTCTTGATCTCCTTTCTTCAGGTTCTCCTCATGACTCCCCCAGACTTAGATTTTTGTTCAGGTTTTAAAACCATTCCTCACAGATGAATACTTGTAGCATTTGCTTCCAATGATTTCGGCTGTCCTAGACTCTTTAGGCTTTTGGTTTCCTTCTTTCATTTTTTTTCCTTTCCTTTCATTTTTTTTTCGTTTTTTTCCTATATATTTTTTTCTTTTTCGATATTTTTTTTTCTTTTTTCAAAGGGGAAACCGCTTTTTGACATAGAGTCTTATGAGCACGAAATTTACCTTTATGAATGAGCTTTTTGAGGCACCATTAAGCTTGATATGATTGCTGATACTCCTCTTTCCCAAATTTCTTCAGTCTTTCTTTTGAGTGACTGAAAACCATGTTGTTCCTCCCTCTCCGGCATTTTTGCACATATCTGTCGATATAAACTAAAGAGAGATTGCATGAGGTTTGAACATAAAGGTTTGGGTAAAGGGTGTGGTACCAGCTAAAAATGAACTGGCCATCTAGGACAACAAAGAGTGGTAACAACAAGGTGAAGATGTCCTAGATGTGTATCATGATGCCTGCTAAAACCAATGATGAGAAAATTAGATGTCAAGATTATGTTCAATTGAAATGAGCTAATATATCCTGGCAAAAAAGATCTCCATGAATAGAAGTCCTCTGGTGGGAGTTCTTAGTGCAAGTACTCTAGCTACTGCCTAATCTAGTACTAACCACAAAAGAAACTAGCATGTAAAGTCTAGAAGCACATGGGTCGTATTCATCATAGTTTGTTTTTTAGTGTTCCTGTTTATGAAATCAATGTTCCTGTTTTTGAAAAACTTTTGAAAACCTTTTATAAAAGACCCTTTATGAAATAAAAACTCGAAACAAACAAACTTTCGTTAGTAACAGATGAACATCCTCCCCCAGACTTAAATCACACTGTCCCTAGTGTGAAAAAGTTGGTGAGAAGATGGTAAATAAAAACGAAATAATTTAAAGAAAAGAAAAGGAAATGATGTAGAACCGTGGGTATGATGAGGTGATGGATGGGCGCCTGGTCTCATTGCTGCTGTCTATCTCTGTGGCAGAGGAATCGTCATCATACATGTGGTTCTTCTTCAAAAACTTCTTCATGTGCCTGTTGATCTTCTCTTGCTGGTCACGCTTCTTTTTCAAAGCTGCAAAGTCTGCATCATTCCTAGCGGATGCTCTAATCTGAGAAGAAACTGGCTCGGGATGAAGATGGTGCAGGCTGAAGTCTCCTACGGTTTGCAGCTACCTCTCTCTTGGCTTTTGCAGCCATAAATTTTTTCATGGTCAGAGGGAGGAGTGGCAAAGATGGTAGGAAGTTGCTAGTCTCTGGTTTCCATCCTAGGTCTGAACCATCTCGGAGACGGGGCATTGAATCCGATGGTAGAAGGACCTTGTACTTGGTGGAACTGGTGCAGAACTTGTAAGCAAATCCAATTGGGTCCATCTTGGCCCTGGTGATAGTTCTGACAATCAGATGTAAGCATCTCATGCTTAACCTTCAATAGGTTCCTTGCAATGATACAAGCAAAGCAAAGAAGGTGGAGAAGGGTTCATCGTCTCGTTTAAAGGTCATATGTCTCCTGCGAACAGGGCTTTTTCGCATGAGCACTCCTCTTGGTTCGAATGAGTTGTACCTGAGAGAGATCCATGACCTGCGAAACGAAATTCTCAAGATAGAGAGTAACTGAAGCTGCTTTTGTTTCGATTTTTATGAGCAAGGTGTTTATAGAGTTATCACAAACACATTCATATGACAAACAAGTTGTAAATGCATCAAACTTTGCAAAATCTGAGAGTTACTGCTCAAGATCGATATATTGATGTCCAACACATGAGATTTCTGAATCAAGATGATGTTAATGCTCACTCATATGTAATCCAATCTGGTTTTCTATCAACAAAGACCAAACAATCCAGACTTGCTAAGCTGAATCAAACAGTTCTTCAAATTTCGATTTTCTCAAAGTCTCAAATCTCAGATTTTCGAAAATTTCAAATCTCCATGGTCTAAGTGTTCAATCATGCAATTAAACAACCTAAAAGTCTAGTCTTGAGGTCAAAGATAATTTTCAATCATCCTAAGGTAAATATTTACTTATTCTAAGAAAACCTTAAATTTAAGTTCTTAAAGAAAAGTGAGAAATTTGGTACCATACCTTTAATGAAAGTGTGATGTGATGACAGATTTGGAATCTCTTTTGAAAAAAAATGAGACAGGTTCGAAAATTTGAAAGGAATTTGTCAAGTTTGAAATCTGGTCTTTCTTCAAAATCTCCAAACTTGTTGGAGAAGATGATGAAGAAGACATTCTGGTCTTTGAAATCCTCTTTTTCTTTTAAAAAATTATCTTTCCTAAGAAAAATGTATTTTAAAAGTTTTTAAGGACTTACCTGGATGTTGACAAAAAGAGATGTCATTGTTGGTCTTCATGAATCTCCTTGAAGAGATATCAGTTGAGACCACTTGCACAAAAACTTGCATTACTTCTTTCTCAATGGTCCAATACCTGATTCTCCAACTCCATGAGACTGGTAACTCACGCAGCTTCAACTTTGATGAAGGTTTCGACTGCGTCCGGGGTGAGTAAGTAGAGCTGTCAATTGGGCGGTCTGTCCGTGGACAAGCTCCGGTCCATATTAGTACGGACGGGCGATGATGACGCCCATAATTTAAATGGATGAAATAGGCTACAACCAACTTTGTCCGCAACAAATACGGGTAAGCCCATACGGACAGTGGACATGTCCAAACACTTAAAATTCTAGGTCAAAATTGATTTAGGGTAGAATTAAGATTTTTTTGGAAACTACACTCAGTCACTCCGAATCTCGCCAACTTGCGATGGTGTTTCATTGCTCTTTTTCGGATCTCTTCTTCTTCGCATTGATTCTTTAAGAACCCAATCTTCATTTCTTCTATATCTCTCGACTCCACTGCTTCGCTCATCCTGGTAACTGCGATCTGCTCTTTCTCTCAGTTCCGATGTGCTCAATTTTAAAAATCGGGAGATTGGGTTTACTTTAGAGATTGTTTCTCTTTCTGGGTCTGCTTCATATGGTTTTGTTGGTCACTTTATTGCTCATTTCGTTGGTCACTTTCATCCCTCTTATCCCTTCCCTTTTCCATTGATTCAGCTAACAAAGGAAGAGCTCTCATCGTTTTCTCTGGATCTGAGCAAAAGATTGTTCTTCTGTTTCGTCATTCTAAGATATCAAACTGGATTTAGCTACATTGTCTACACCGTTGCACACAAGAACTCCATTGTTGCGGTTTGTGAAGGTTTACAACATCCATTCTGATTACTGTTTGGTTTTCTGCAGGTTTACTTCATTCTCCTAGTTTCGATACAGAGAGAATTAGAGAATTCGTTTTTCTGAAGCATCAAGTTCTTTTTTCATCAGATTCATTAGCTACTCAGGTATTCACTTTGACCCATTGTTTCACTTCATAACCGTAGATTAGTCCTAATTTCTTTCAGGTTCTGTAGCTTGATTCTCATTCTCTTAGGTCTACTAGTGTGGTTTTGAGGTTATTCTTGTGGTGTTAAGGTTGAGATATAGTGTTAAAGGCTTTTATGTTTTGTTTTGTCTTGGATTTGACTAAGTAACTTCGGTGGTTTCCATGGCAAGATAGTGGAATCAACAAGTCAATGATTAGTTATAATTATAGCAACTCTTCTTCAACTCAGCTTAGTTACGTTAAAGTGGAAAGAAACTTGGCAGACCTTTGACTTTTTAAGTTCTTAGAAACCTTGCCTTTTACAATTTTTATATGAAGATCCTTGTATTGTTACGTGAAAGTGGAAAGAAACTTGGCAGACCCTTGTATTGTAAAATCCTTAGTAGATACTTTTTTTCGTAGAGGAAATCTGATAGCTTCTTGTTAAAGTGTGTACATAATAGAAAGTCTAATTGTTATAACACTTACGTAGTTCTTTTCTAATTGTTGCAGAAAAATGGACTTTGGTATTACAAATTTGATGGATGAAGACAACTTTAGTCTTGAAGATATGGATCCTAAGGATGAGAGGGTACATCAAGAGACTGCTTCTTCAGAGATGGCTGAGAAACAAAAAAGTACAGAGTAGTTCTAGTCGACGACGCTCTAAGTGCTGGAAAAACTTCACAATAGGAGATAGATATGATGATGATAAAAATGATATTACGTGCAAGCACTGTAATAAAACCTATTTCTTGGATCTGCATAGAAATGGAACTAATACTTTGACTCGTCATATGAGAAGTTGTTCTAAACTCCTGGAAGCACTCCTAGACCTAGTGTAAGAAAGCTGGATATGATGGTGTTTAGAGAGATGATTGCAGTGGCTTTGATTCAGCATAATCTCTCGTACTCTTTTGTTGAGTATGAAAAGATTAGGGAAGCTTTTGCTTATGCTAATCCTGATATTGAGTTCTGGAGTAGAAATATAGCAGCAGCAGATGTATTCAAGATTTTTGAGAAGGAAAAAAGGAAGCTCAAGGAAATTTTGACTAACATTTCAGGAAGGGTTTGTTTGACAACTGATTTCTGGAGAGCTATCACTTTTGAAGGTTATATCTGTCTCACAGCACACTACATCGATGTTAATTGGGTTTTGAAAACGAAGATACTGTCTTTCATTTTTTTCCCTCCTCACACTGGTATTGCCATAGCAATGAAGCTTATTGAATTGTTGAAAGATTGGGGATTAGAGAAGAAGGTGTTTTCCCTAACCGTAGACAATGCTTCAGCTAATGATAGGATGCAAGGTATTCTTAAGAGAAAGCTACAAAAAGATCTTGCGTGCAATGGTGAATTCTTTCATGTTAGATGCTCACCAGATATCTTGAACTTAATTGTACAAGATGGATTAGATGTGATAAGTGGAGCATTGGAGAATATCAGAGAGAGCGATAAGTTTGTGAAGGGATAAGAGTCTAGGGAAAACATATTCCAAAACTGTATGGAAACAGTTGGATGTCATGAGTCTGCGGGTCTAGCTTTAGATGTTTCAACTCGTTGGAATTCTACATATCAGATGCTAGAGAGAGCATTGAAGTATAAAGATGTCTTGCGTAATCTGGCAGAAGTAGAGAAGAGTTATCAGTGTTTTCCATCAGATGTGGAGTGGGAAAGAGGAGATATGATATGTAAGCTCTTGAAACCGTTTGCTGAAATAACAAAGTTGATTTCGGGTTCATCATATCCCACAGCAAACTTTTATTTTCTGCAAGTTTGGAGTATAAAAAGTGGTTGATAGATCATGAAGACTATGATGACTTTGATATTCATGAAATGGTGATTCCTATGAAGGAGAAATTTGATAAATATTGGGAAGAATTAAGCGATATACTTGCAATAGCTGCTGTACTTGATCCGAAGCTGAAGTTTGCATTTCTAGAATATTGCTACAACACTTTGGATCCAGCCACTACTCAGTTGAAGTTGGCTCATGTGCGCAGAAAAATGGTTAAGCTTTTTGGAGCTTACAAGAGAAACACAAGCAGCATTACTACCACCACTTCACATACTTCACGAGATATTCCATCAGGATACGATGTAAGAGTTTTCTATAAGTGTTTTTAGTCTCATTTTAATTCTTAATCTCTGTATAGTAGCTCTGGTTCTTGGAAATATGAGGTGATCATATCTAGTTTTTGTATTGATTATATTTCAGGGTTTTTATTCATACTTTTCTCAAAAAACTGGTGGTAGTGGAAAGTCACCATTAGACACATACTTGGATGAGCTAGTGTTAGATCTAGTTTCTTTTAGGAGTATGAATGTCTTGGACTATTGGAAAGACAATGCAAGTCGCTTTATAGAGTTGTCAAGTATGACTTGTGATGTGCTAAGCATTCCGATCACAACAATGGCGTCTGAATCAACGTGTAGCATAGGAAGTTGCCTTCTACCTAGAAATGTTCAAGTGTTGATATGTGCAAGGAACTGGTTTCGTGGCTTTGAAAAAATTGGTAAGAATTTCACATTTTTTTTTCATATTTTAGGTGATGAGTTCTTACTTAATTATTTTTCAATTTTGTAGGTGATGAGATCGAGTTTGTTGACGAGGAAGAAGAAGAAGCATGATGTGATGGATTTTCTCAAATAAATTTGTAGTTTGTGAGCACTAATAATTTGTTATGTTAAAAATACTTTGTAGTTTGTGGTTACTAATTATTTGTTATGTTAAAATTACTTGTGCTTTTGGTTTGTTACTTTATGTTAAAAATATTTAGTAGTTTGTGGGTACTAATTATTTGTTAGGTTAAAATTATTTGTAGTTTTGGTTTGTTACTTTATGTTAAAAGTATTTAGTATATTCAACATTTTAAATTCTTATTTTTTTATAATAAAAACTCAAATATTTTCAACATGGTATCCAACTTTGAGCTTGATCAGACGGTGAGAAGGTCTTCATTATATGTGAAACTTCTGACGGTCCGAAATTGGCCAAAAGTAGATTTTTCTCCAATTGTCATTGCTTTTGCCTAACTAACCTGAAATTTTTTTTAAAACTCCAAAACATGGAAAACACTTATAAAAACTTCAAAACTTATTGAAAACACCTGCATAAGATACTGAAAGTGATCCATAAAAATGGTCAAAATCAGGTGTTATCAGCCGCAAGTGCACAGCTGATCGATTGTAGTACTTAGGGGTCGAATCCACAGGGAATGAGGCTTTTTTTCTGCAAAAGCCTTTGACAGAAGTATAAAGTAAAGAAGTCTAGATTTAAGCGATATTTTAAGGGGTTTTGGTGGTTTCTTTAAAATGTAAAAACTAGTCTAAACGGGAAAATATGGAAATCAAAATGACATAATACTAAATCTAATAAAATCGACTAAAAACGACGAAAACGACTAGACCTAAATTACTTGAATAAAATCGGCTGGAATAAAGAAAATAACCTAATGACTAAAGCTTGTATGAAAATCGGTGAAAAACTTATAAAGAAGAGACACTGGATTTTCAGGGAAATTATCTCTGGGGATGAACGATTCAAAACATTGCTAACAAGTAAATTAAAAGATCCTAGCTAAAACTTTTAAAATTCAAGTCACGAACGTATGAATACACCACTGTCCTGATCATAACCAATTATCTCTCGCAACCCTGACCAGTAGGTTTCCACTCTGGCCCTGGAAGGGAAAAGATGCAAGCTTGCTTAAGACTCATCAACATTCACAGTTTGCCCAAACGTAGGTTTCCACTCCTACGGTTGATCTGCTCTTCTCAAACTAGATCTAGCCCCGGATGAATAGTTTCGCAACACCAAGGACCTAGATCAGATTGTAGTTCATGACGCTACTCCTATGCATTAAAAATAAGTTTAGAAGAAAAAGTTATAGGATTAGGCATCAATAGCTAATGGAATCCTCATCGAACATGTATAGCCCCCATCGAAAATTCTTAAACCCAATAATAAAACTACTCAGACATGATTAGAGATAGCAAAAACATTGTATTAAAAAGCTGTATTGAAATCGATATTGTAAAGGAACAAAAAGGGTTCAAGAGATAGATCTCTATCTCCCTAAACCTAAAACTAAGAAAATGAAAGATAAATACTTAAAAGCTGCTAAAAGAGAAGTCGCATATGTGTCTCTGATGTAGGCACCAAGGGATGATGCTACAAGGGTAGTGAGATGGTGTGCAACAATCGGCCGAAGGGCTTGCTTGTGAGCACTAAGAGATGATGATGGATCAAGATGGGGTAAAGATAATTGGTCGAAGGGCTCTCCTTATCTTTACAAAGTGATAATATGGTGTTTGTAACAAGAGATGGAGTGAGTACACGCCACACGGGGATGGTAATACCGTGATAAGTCTGGTGAAACACTAAGCAAGGGGAAACCACACAAGCTTAACTATCTCGGTAAAGCTCAAGAGACAAGTTCTTGAAAAAAGTTCGATCTTTATTGATATGAAAAAGGTTGGTTTTACAAAGCTGCATGTGGGACTTTATTAATAGTGCGTCATGTGTGAACCTTCTAGGGTTGGACTCAAAACACAAAGGAAAAGAAACAAAACAATAGACTCTAAAAGAAAACAAACAAAAGACAATTTCCTTACTCTAAGACAAATGTTTAGAAAAGACTAAGTAAAAGGACTAAAGGGAAAAACCTGAAAAACAGACAAGGAAACTCGTTAGAAATTAAAATTGAAATACTCACCTTGCTTTTAAAAGTGTCTCGGTGCATCCCTTAAGCTGGAGATATTATGAAGACACAAGTTTCCTTATTTGGTGTGACGTAGGGCCAATGCGGAGGGTGTGGAATCTTGAGGCTGTCTTGGGCTCTTGATGGGTCCTTGGAGTTGTCTTTGTTGAATCCCACGCTTACTAAGGATTGGCTTGTTGTTGGGCTTGTGCTAGTTGATTCTTGAGGCTCGGCTATGTTAACTTCTAGGTCTTTTCGTGTTTGCTCCGATTCTATCTTCTTGAGGGACAAGATTGGTGGATGAAACACGAAGCTATGATCACTCTCAGCATAGATCCTTGAATCTATTGATGCATGGCCGTAGGACTCCATTTCTTGGAACAAGCTCCGGACTGCCTTGTCAAATGCTTCTCGAGCTGCCCTTGTTCTTGAACGTGTCTGAGGAGCCTCTCTCATGGCCGGTATTGTGATGTCGTGCTCTGTGTCCTCTTTGTGCTCTTCATCTTCTAGGTAGATGTCCTCATCAGTCTCCCTTTGTATAGGGTTCCCAAAGCATGTATTTATAGTGTTCAAGTCATTTTTGGGCGTCACTTAAAATTTCTCCAAATGAGGAAATCAGTTTGGGCTTAAAAATAGGCTTCTAGGCCGGACAGACCAATATTCGGGGTCAGGAAGGACGGGACCAGTGCAAATTGGGTGTTGGCCACGGGTAGGAATGCTTGCCGGCTGGTTTATGGGACATCTTGCTCTTCATGTAACTTTTGATTGAACTGTTGGATTGCCATGCTGTAATGTGTGCTTGAAAGCTGGTAGTTCTATCTTTAAGGTCTCCAACTTTGAGCTGGATCAGACAGTAAGAAGGTCTTCATTTGAGGGTGAACTTATGATGGTTTGACTTTGAGCTGAAATCTTGTCTTCTATCCATTTTGTTAAGTTTTTTCCTAAGTTTCCTGAAAAGAGTTTTGAAACTACAAGTACTAGAAAAACATAATAAAAAAAATTTGAAAGTAGTAAAAAACATAGAAAAACTATCTCAAATTGATCCATAAAAGTGGTCAAATTACAGTGTTATCAAGGATTCATAATCTTCCAGGTTTTCTTCGTTTACTCTTATTCTTATTGCATGATTCTCTGTTAGCCACTTAGAATTCGATCTAGATACTTAGTGTTGCAAAAAATTTCATTATCTGTCGGATCTAGGGTGAAAATAGCAATTCTGCCATAGGAGATGAAAGCTACCTATGGGTGAGTTGTGAATGTAGATAAGTATAGTGAAAGATTGCGTACACTTGTGGTTGGGGCCAGAGTCGGAAGCTACTGGTCAGTGACAGTTGATTATGATCACGAGAGTGACGTAGTCATACATCTGTGCTCGAGTTCTAGAACATCCGTATTTGATTATCTTTATCATTAATTTTTGTCATTGGTTTAGTCCATGAATCCCTGCAAATATCCTTAAGCCCAACGTTTGTTTTTAATATCTTACAACCTCGATTTTATTTGCTTTTTATACTTGCTTTGCTTCTAGTTTAGAATTAGTGACACCTAAAACCAAAACTCAAATTATTTTGTTCTAGTCTGATTTAAGCATTAGCGTGAATTTGTACTGAAACAACTAATTCTATGTGGATCGATACTTTAAGTACTACAGCAAACATCTGTGCACTTGCAGACATTTAGGGGTTATAAATTTTAAACATCAAGTTAGAAGTAACCCTTGCATCCTGTAGCATCAACGGCCCCTGGCAAGGCAGTTCTTAATTTGTTAGGATGCAAGTGCATAGATGTGCATTGTAGTACTTAGGGGTCGAACCACAGAGATTTTGAGTTTTCAGTCCGAATCAATCAAGAACAACTAATAGAACAAACGAAATGAGGGTCTGGGGTTTTGGTGTCACTAAATCTAAGATGCAAGACAAAATTAAAAGGTTGTTAACCAATAAAAACTAAATGTTGGGCTTAAGGGTATTCGAAGGGTTCATGAATCGATTCAATGATAGACAAATAAATCGATAAAGGTAATGAACTAGAGAGGTTCCCGGAATCGAATAGACACATATATTATTAGCCAACTCTCGTCACCCTAATTAACTAATTACTCAAACTCGAAAAGTAGCTTTCGTCGCTTGCCGCGAATGTGATCATTCATTACTAACAGAATTCATATATGCTCACAATTCTCTATAGCTAGCTTTCCACTCCTATAGTGATTTCGCTCGTATCACTTCTAGGTCAGGTAATCCGATACGACACTCTCGTGGCTCCAATTAAACCTAAGATCAGTTTCTAAGTGGCCAGCAAAGAAAACATGCATAAAGAATAAGAGTGAACGAAGGACTCCTAGAAGATTATAAATCCTAAATCTTAAAATTCATCAAATCAAGACATGAAATTCTCTTTGAAAAATATCTCTAACCCAACTAGGAAAATACTCAGACATAGCTGAGTTCAACATCACAAAAGTATTTAAGTTGCTGTAAATTTAAATGGGGAAAAGTAAACAAATGAAAAACGAGGTGAGGAAGGAGATTCGATGGTGCCCCTCTCGGTGGCTCCTCTTCGAAGGCGGCTACTGTATAAGACTCTAGGTGAAACTCGGACTCTATTGGGCACACCCTATCTGAATGACCTAAAAGAGGTATATATAGTGTCTGGAGTCTTCAGACATGTCTAGAGTTTGCAGGAATAATGACGGGAATGACTTGGACCTTAAAATGGGCTTCTGAGGTTTGGAAATAAGCTCCCTGCGGTTGATAAAGTTGTGGCCATGGTGGAAGCTCTTCCGGCCGCAGGTGGGAACAATTTTGGCTTCAATTTTGGTTTTTGGACTGTGTTGATTCGCCTTAAGTACAACGAACATATCTGGAGATCTAACTGTTGGATTGCTTTGACTTCAAGTTCACTGGAAATCGGGTTGACTCTTGTGTCCAAATTTTGGGACTATCAGACGGTGGCAAGGTCTCCATTTGTTTTCAAATTTCTGACGGCCTGAATTTATCCAAAATTGAACTTTTGTAACAAAATGCATTCATTTTGTCCAAATATCCTGAAAACTTTTTTCAAACTTTAAAATATAGAAATCGCTTACAAAATTGAAAACTAAATTAAAAACCTGAATAAAATCTTAAAATTATCCATAAAAATTGTCAAAATACAGTGTTATCAGCCATAGTTTGCAAAGGTTTTTCCAAATCCAGCTAGCCGAGTTACCAGGATCCAGAAACCAAATTTTTCCGATCCAAGGAAATTGTGCCTGACCTGAGACACCCACAGTGAACCACCGGCAGTAAAGATAAGTCAGATCAGTTTCAGCCCCAACACTTTGTTCCAGGCTGAAAGTCTCCGAAGCCCAAGCCCGCCACTCGGCTTAGGAGAACATACTAAATCCTAACTAAACTTTGTGCATCTTGCTCAGTTAGGAACTCCCTTCCATAAGAAACCATAACACATCCTCTCCTGAGCTTCTATACATTGTTTGGCAACACAAATAATCATGCCCAAAAGCTGATGGTAGAGTATATAACGGATTGGTATAACTGAAGACGACCTCCGAATGATAAGTGTGTTACTGTCCATGAGGTGAAGCCTTGGAGATCTTCTCCAAGAATGGTTGGTAATCTTGTTGTCTCATCTTCTGAGATGTCATAGGAACCCCAAGATATCTAACTGGAAAAGAACCTGGTTGTAGGCCAAAAGAGGCAACGTATGCGGAAAAGTTTATAAAAAATGTGATGTTACATGTGAATTTATCTTTCCAGTCACTTATCCTGAGAGAAATGTACATTTGATATTAAAGCATGCAGCTGGTTGGATATGAAAAACAAATGACATCCCAGTTCATAAAAACCAAACAAACATTACAATAAAGAAACATCGAAACCCGTTCAAGAGTTATCTTTTATTTTTCTAGGACGAAACACACAGAAAAAGGGGGAAAAGATGCAAGTAGCGAAAGATACTCTTATGGACCAGCCAACATGACTAAACAGAGACCAATGTGGGAGCTGAATACTGATGTGGCAATCGGAATTTGACACACAGTGTTGTCCGCACCTGATTATCCACTGGTTCCATAAATATACCAGTAATAGCTACGTAATACTTGCGTCCCTTTCACAAGAAAGAAAAAATAATGACAGTCAGAGAGGCAAAACAAAGTAGAGCTGAAACAGAAACTGCTCGTTTGGGTGTAGGTTTGCTATGGTGTCAGGTTAAAGAAAAATTTCAAAGTAAGATCTATTGGGTCTGATATTGTCCAGTTGGGTTTAGCAATCTTAAACTGGATGGAGAATGTAACTAATTAAAAACATGTGTTAAATGAAACTAATATGTCCTAGGGAAGTGGGGGAGCCACATGTAATAAGATAGGGTCATTCGCCCCAACAAATTTATAAAAATTAGTGTAACTTAGTAAAGCCCAATATTAATGCTCCTACTTATAAAATCATATCTATTTCTGAAAAAAAAAATTCTGGCTCTACAGATAAATATCATACTGGTTTATTTTTTTCCCTACGCATGGAGTGTAAGAATAATTACCCCAGTAAGATCGAGAATTGTTAACTTAAAGTTGGCGCCAGGTATAATAGGGAATGGACTCGCCACGTAACGTTTGTTAAACGTTTTTAGAGTTTTAGTCCTATTGTTAGGCAATATAACACCGACCGCTACAAATCCCAGTCGGTTGAGTAGATCTCCGCCTGTAAACACAAGCGATTTTATTAAGAAAAAAAAGGAAACTAAAAGAGAAAAGAAAATGAAAAAATGAAAAGAGTTACGTTAAAACTATTACGTACTTTTCCTGCTTGCGATGCTGAATATCTCAACGGCTACCCCGGTGCGGGGATAGGCCTTGACAAGAGTGACATTACCGCTTTTGTATCCAATTTCTACAACACTCGCACAGGTCAAAAACGTGGATGTACAAATCTTTCTTAGGAGAATTGATATTTCAAAAAATTAGGAAACGGTGTTTTACATATATGATGGCCAAAACAAAAACCACTTGAACAAAGCAACAAGACGAAAACGAGATATGAGTCATATGAGTCAGAACAAAAACCTTATTGGTCGCAATTAGAGCCTCTTAGTATTATTAATTTGACTTATCATTTATCAACTAAGACGACTAGGTGTTGTATGTATAGGTATTTTATAGTTATAAATAAAAACATCTCAAAATTAAGACGAACAAATAGATATATACGTTTATGTTGGGAGAAAAAGTGAACCAGTAATATAGAATCCAAATAATTTCTGGTGAAAACCCAGCAAAGTTGACGAAGTCCAGATAAAGGCAAAGGGAGATTTGAGGTCACAAGCCGATGAACCTGACTACCACTCCGATGAATCTCAATCAAGAAACAACGACGATGACAAATAAGAACACGACAACGATAATGGTGAAAGTCCGATGAACACTCTCTCCATACGATGACTTCTAATGACTCTAAGCCTAAGTAGGGTATACAAAACTTGCATGCTTCAACTTGAGGGAGGATACTAAAGATACCAATCTAAGAAATTATTATAAATGCGTCACAAAATCAGTGGGCAATTACATGTATATCTCTTGTGATCTTTAAGATTAGGAAGTTAGATTGTTTTCTAGTAGTATGAAATGTTAGATCGATATCTTTGAATAGCAAACAGAAAAGTCTTTGTGCCTATTAGAATCTTATCATACTTACTGTTGCAATATTCAAAATCGACAGCGCACAATACAGGTAAAAATAAGAGTGATGCGAGTAGAAGAAGAAGAGGCTGGACGTGAGACATCGACATGGATTCGCTCGTTGATCTTCGCAGAGGAAAATATTTTGTTTCTGTTTGGTTTGAGAAAAGTCTGTTGTACATCTTATGCTTTTCCATCCATGACTACCGATTTTATGGCCTATATATTATAATATTTTTTAGTAAATTAGTGGATTAGTTCAGAATGACATACGCGAGATTTTAATATACGAGCGTAGAAAAGACTATCATTAACAAACTGAAATGTCAATGGAATTTTCAATTACCTACCAAGTTCAACATTTATTCATTTATAAGCACGTGGATTCATCTCGGAGAAATCAAAGTTTCAGATATAGCCTATAGATTATAATACTATTACTAAGATAATGGATAGGTTCAGAATGATATCTTATCTCCCACGGTATACCCGAGATTCTTGAAATATAAGTGTAAATGTCATTGGAAATAACAAAAAAAAAAAATTCAATAAAAACGACATTTAATTGGAATTGTCAATTACCTTACCTTACTACGTCGAACCTTTATTCATTTACATTCATCTAGGAGAAATTAATGTATAACTCATTAGATTAGGTTCTACGTGTTATGCAGATAATATATAAAATATTTAGAGAGAAAATCTTCCAGAATAATATAAAGTAACCAACAAATTGGAAAAATAGTATCACTACAAAAAAAACAAAACATGTCCAAATTTTGACCAATAAATAACTACTCCCTCCGTTTCACAAAGAATGTCGTTTTGACATTCTTCACACAAATTAAGAAATAAAATAAAAGGTCTCTTATACCCTTATTTATTTGCAGAAAATGACTCTTGTAATTATATTTATAATTAATTTTCTGAATTTATTGAGGTTAAAAATGGTATTTTATGTTAAAAATTACATTAGAATTCTAAAACGACATTCTTTTTGAAACAAAAAAAAAGTGTCAGAACGACACTCTTTGTGAAACGGAGGGAGTATTATTGAATCGGTAAAAAATTAGTCAAAAATATTTAACCAATATATTTAACCGTTTAGTCTATTGTCCCTAATCAATTATTGCATGTCAATTCGACCAGTATCTTTCTCTGGCCGCGCAGAAGATAATGTAGTTCCAAATCGAGATTCATATATGTTCATGATACTTTATAGGTAGCTTTTGTCTCATATAATGATTTCGCCCATTCAATTTTAGATCTAGTAAGTTGATACAACACTCTCGTGGCTCTATTTAAACCTAAAAACATATGCAAGGTAATCAATCAAAAAAACATGTATTAATAATAAAAATGAATGAAGAACCATCTAATATCGAAATCCTTAGTATAAAAATTTAGATGTTAATCGATCCATGAGAGCCTCTTTTCGAAATCCCCTATACCCAACAAAGAAACTACCCAGACATAGCTGAGCTTAACATCATTATTGGTTTAAAAGAAAGCAGTAAAGTAAAAGAATAAGGATAAAGAAAATCTTCTTTTATTGAAGAACAAGGGTGGCAAGAATGCTTCTCTACAAAGACAAATAAATCTAAAGAGTAAAGCAGAAAATGTTCTCTGTTCTAAGATGTGAAAAGAGACACCTAAAAAATACCCAAGAACATGCATTTATAATCTTTATTCTCTTGTAGGCATTTAGGGTTTGGAGAAAATGGCTGGTGTAACGGTTTGGGATCAAAATGGGTCTATTAGGCCCTCACAAACTTGGCTGCTGGTGCACCTCTCTTGGCCGCGGGTGCGACTTCTTCCGCCGCGAGTCAGGCCTCTTTGGTCTGGCCTATGTTTGCTCCAAGGCTTATCATATGTCTTCAATGTTTGAATATCCGGAAATTAAACCGTTGAAATATCTCCAAACCAAATGCATTTGAAAGCTGATAGTCTCATCTACATGTGTCCAAATTTGGGGATGATCAGACGGTGAGAAAAATCTTATTTTCATTGTAAGACTTCCTGATGGTCCAAGTTTATCCAAAAACTTACTTTTTCTCCACAATGAACTCTTCGATCCAAGTTACTGAAAATCTATTACTAATAAAAGTTGAAGCTAAATGCTTTTCAGAGTGTCCACTTAGGATTTAAAAGAGCAATTTTATTGGTCCACATCAACATTCAAAATTAAGAAAGCTTTCAAATTCTAATATTAGCATTCAATAACTATGATAATTTTTTTTTATGTGTGTGCAACCATTTCAATTAAAAAAAATAAAAGAATAAAGTTAGTTTTTATTAAAGAAAGAATCATTACAATGTAAAAGAACTAACTTGGCTAAACTACCTGTTCAACTATTAGCTAAACATAGAATATGATGAAGGAGATATAGACAAAACCACTACAAGCCGCTTTAATGTCGAAAAGGAGACAGTAAATCTCCAAAGCTTGGCCACCGAATTTGAGAAGAATAATAAATTCCAGTCAATTTTGAGAAACATGTCAACTGATTGATGCCTAACACTTTTGATAAACGAAGCGCTATGAATAGAGATAGAGGTTATGTCATTAAGGCGAAGGAGATCAAAATATCTGAGGAAGATCCATGGAATAACATGGCATCTGACGGAAGTTTAACAATCCAACCTAAACCACAAAGGTAACAATTAGCTGACCAAGCAGCATTCGAATACATTCAGTAAGTCTCAAAATAAGGAGAAGAGTACGCGATCACTTACCGCAAAGGGGCCTGTGTAGGATCTTCCAGCTTTGATTTCTACCATATACAGGCCTGAAAGTTATAGAAAAGTTGAAATCACTTAATTGATGTTACATAAGATCGTAAGTGCGTTTAATATATGTCACCGGAAAATTATGGTTTCTATATGTTTGAGGTAAACGAAAAGCATATCTACTTTGTCGATTTTTGTTATTATTAATATGTTTCAAAGTTTATTCTTGATTAAAGTAGCTAAGGAAGGAGAGCAGATTTTACCTATCTTGATTTTTTGTATTTCGTAGAAAAAAATATAATGAGAATCAAATTAAATAAAATAAAAAACTTTATTTACTTTGGTTAGAAAGAATGAGGTATAATCATTAAAAATTATTTAAAAATTATCATAAATAATATGATACAAGACAAAAGTTTTCATGAATCTGAAAATAAGAATTGTGATTATTAGTTTGTCTTTCAATGTATTATATTAAATCAGATATTTATATTGGCCAAATCAGTCAAGAAAATAAAATTTTTTTTTGCCATGTCCATAAAAACTTTTCACATGATCGCATGAATTAATAATGCGAGAAAGATAAAACAAATTACAGTTTATATTCAGCTTATGATTGTCATAGATTAATATAATATTTTTTTTGAGTTGTTTCATGTGATTCATTTACTGAATTTTTTTTGTATGTCGGATTAATTTTGACTACTTATTTGTCTTTTTTTATCAAAACAATGCTAAATTAAAAAAAAAAGAACAGAATGAATTTATTCATAGATTAAAAAAGATTATTACAATGAAGGCAAAAAATAATTTGTAAAAACAAGTTTTCTCATATATAAAATAATTTTTGTTACTTCCAATATTCTTTGCAAATCCCTAAGTATGATGATTGAATCATCATCACTTAGGTGTATGACCTCATCGAAGAACTTTTAAAAATTTACCACAACCAATATATGTCACCATACAAAATTTCGGCTTCTATATATTTCAAGTAAACAAAAAACATATTTACTTTATCAGCTTTTTTTTTTAAAAAAAATTCATTTCTTTCAAAACTATTTTTTTCTTAGATAAGAAAGATTTGTGCTTATTAGTTTGCTTTTTCATTTGTAAATTAAAATGAAAATTTGTATCGATTAAAGTAGTTAAGGAAGAAGAATAGATTTTAACTATCTTGCTCTTTCATATTCCATAGAAAATGTTGGGGATAAATTTTATCATTCCTATGTGGACGAATTATGTGCTTGCACGTGGCGTCCATGGCTTTTTTGCAGGTACAGCCCTCTGGGCCAAATTAGGACTCATATTGGATTTACGGCCTAATATGACCTAAGCATATAGCACCCGCACGATACGCCACCTGTTCTCAGGTTCCTCGTATCTTACAGCGTTGTTCATGCTGTCAGGGACAAGGAGGTCGGAAACTGAGGGGTCAGGAGGAGGAGATGTCACCTTCCCAATGTCCTAGACCTAAGGTCGGTGATCCGAAAAGATCGTGATATAAGGAAGGGTAGCCCACAGAGGTAACCGGAGAGTGGAGCCGTTCATTCGAGTAACCTCGGCAGCCCGGTCCCAGTATCGAGGGGTCCGAGCCATATATGAGTAAATCCATCGGTAAACACTATTCAAATTTCCTTCCATACGACAATAGGAATATGCCTTAATCATATTTGATTACCCATACCCTTACAAACCCACGAGGTTGCCATTTAATGCACCTTTCTTACACGTGTCAGGCGATAGTGACCTTGCGCACGAGTCAGAGGGAAAAGCAGAGGTTCATACCGCGCCTGAACCGCCGAACTAACCCGTATACTAAGGAGGAATGGGTCGCGCCCGAGAATGGTCTAGATGTAGACAGAACATGCTAAGGAAAGTTGGTGAGACTGTCAGAAGCATGACACAAGCACAAGATTCGAATCCAGTCAAGTTGGGTCATGGACTGACACACCCGATTCATTATTCGTGGACCTACCCGGTATACTAACTCGGATCAGGTAAAACCTATAAATACTTTATCCTTTCGAACAAGAAAGGGGGACACGTACACTATCCTAGTTACCCTAAAATTTATAATATCTCTCTAGATACTTGTTGGTCTTAGAAGCTACCATCTCGTACTCTCTGGTCACTATTCCGATCATCTCTTCACTTCCTTTCCATGGTGGTCCCTAAGCCGTGGAGCTTTTCCACCAACAAACTCTTATTTTCTTCTCCTTTCACCTCAAAAAGTCCATCACCGCTAAAGGCCTAAGTTGACTCCACCCTTTTCAAAATCTCTTGGTATACTTTCTTTCTTTAGTTTCTGATCTCTTTCTGCTCTGATTAGTCACTTAATGGTCTTTCTGGTTGGTTTATGACTTGAGCGTTGGAGAGCTTTCAGAAAACATATCCCATCGTATTTTCCGGGCCTTCACATGTTTCTCGGTTTTGCAGGAGACTTGCCCCCACAAGAGGGCTA